TCTTACTCAGAATTTCTAGCTTAGTTTATCTCTTGTAAAAGTAGTGGGTAAATTCAATTGTCTCTTGAAATGGAAGCTCTAAAATGTTGTAATGTCCCATTAACTTGGTTGGGTAACTTGAGTATTGTATTTCAATGTCAAATCCTCAGTGTCATTATCGATCTGTCATTATCTCTCAAAAATTTTCTCTTTTGCCAGCTGGTCCAGTTAATTTAACCCATGTACACATTTTGTATGATATTGAAAATCCAAGAATCTCTTCAGGTTATAGGCAATCATGGCTCTACACAGATTCCTTTTCTTAATTATTTGTGAATTGCCATGCCTTATTGGGGAAGAGAGTGGAGTGGTTTCTAGTTGCCTTCACCACAGTTTGGAATCCAGTTTTCTTTCTCTCAGACTGGCTGAGTGTTACTCAAGGCTAGAGAGCTCAGTCTACACTACTATTTATCTCATAGCCGGGATTACAGGGAGAAGAGTTGGATTTATGCCCTCCTCTAGGGCATTTATACAAAGTGAATGCAACAACTTAACCTGGAATTTAAACTTGCAGAATCCATTTTTCTGCACTGATAGACATGACACTACCTGCACGTTCTTGGTAACAGCAAATTAAATAAAAAAACAATGCAATTATTTAATCCTAAATTTTCATTTTTTTTTTTTAATCATATCTAAATAGGTAATCTTTATATGATTTTTGATTCTTTCAATTTATAAATTTTTAGTAACATATTAAAGTGAATCAACTTTGTTTTTAGTTCTCTTCCTACTTTCTGGCTTTTTAGTAAATTATGAATAAATATTTGTACTGTTGATAAGTTTACGATGACAAAAAATGCAGTTAAATTCCTTGAATCTTAAACATTAGGTATATCATTGAAAAATAATTTAAAGTATATTTGGATTATTTTTTCAATTTGATATAATTCATTTTATTAAAAAAATGAAACCTCCAGAATTTGTCAAAATACATTATTTATCTCCTTTAAAAATATGATTCCAAAGTAATAAAATACCATCGAAATTTTCAGCAAATAATCTTTTTTTTTTTTTTTTTAAAACGAAACAAAACAAACTTTGATTTCTACAGTCAGTTTCCTGTGCAAAATCTAGATACTTGTTGTCAGGATTAGTTTTAGACAATGCAGTTATCTCCCTTAGAACTATTTCTATTTGCGCGATCTTCAAGAAATTACGTTTTATAAAATGACACTATTCAGAGAACTTAAAACGATTATTTGGTTATTTATTTTAGTGCATCATTTTACTTACAATTATTGTCCCTTGATATAAACATTAGTCAATGCACTATTTAAACAAATTAGCCGAAAATAATTAACAGTGCCTTTTTATAGCCATGTGTCACATCATTGGCAACTAAGCCTTAGTGGAGTAATCTTTCGAAGTAACCTGGCTAATCGAAATAAGTGCCTAGTAATTTGTTGCGTTATAACATTAACATCATTTTCAGTAACTAATGAGATTTTTATATAATCAATAACTGTTTTACAGTAGGAAAAATCTTGTGCCGAACTATATATTTGAATATTAAGATCCAAACTAAACAATCTGTATTCTATTAATATTTTTTGCAAATGATTCAACGGTTTGAATTTTTGCTTAAAATTATTACGAATTTTAGCTTATATTATAAAATTTTAAAAACTTTTTAAATTGAGGAAATTTGAGATATTGAAAAATTTGTAATATCAAGTAGTATTTTTCATCAACTGTTTGATCTTATTTTCTGTGGTCTTTTTGCAAGAATATAGTTTTATATATATATATATATATATATATATATATATATATATATATATATATATATAAGCTTTCCAAAGAGAAAAGTACTGGGCGTGTGGACGGGGGGGCATAATTTGAGTGAATTCATCTATTACCAATCTGATTTTATTTATTTCATAGTTGAAATAAACTTTATCTCCTTGTATTATTAATCTTATTCACTCATTTTCATAAAATGGCTGAGAATTCGACATTAAGCATTTGAAAATTGATCATATATCTTTGCTGTTTGCAATTAACTGTTTATTGTATTGAATCATAAAAAATAAGAATTTTCTATATGAATTTTATATTAAAATTCTATAAAAATTTAGATGCTGAAATTGATGATGACAAGTCAAGTATTACATCAGATTTTCACATAGGTTCGTATCTTACCTGCGTTTTCTTATACATCTTTATACATATATATATATATTTTTTAATTTCCTCAACCCACTGCTGGCCAGTTTGTTTGGTACTAAGTAAATGGTTATTGTGGCTTGTAGCACTGTGTGGTAACCTAAGTCATCTGCCTATATAACTTGATTCATTTTCTTTATAAACAGTTTTAAGAGAAAAAAAAAAACAACGAAGAAAAAAAGGAAAATGATTTAAGCAAATCACATAACACCAATGCTATTTTTTTGTGAGGTCACAGGAGTTTTATTTTTGCTTTTATATCTTTTCAATAGCTTATTTAACCTCAACATAACACTGCCCCACTTTTCTCTTCAAGAGATTTATTTAGCAATACCATGTTGTCAGTTAGTCAGTCATGGCTACTGAGAAGATAACTACTAAGCTTTTAAAAATAACAGTTATACCCTGTAATCTTTAGACACATTTCGTTACTTAAAAAAATTATATTGTTCCATTTCTTTATGATGTTATAGTTGTAAGCTTGAGAGTTATCTCCCTTGTAAGAATTCTTCAGCCTGTCTGTTAGAATTCTGATATCATGGTATTCAAGTTGCTTCTACCTACCTCTCTGTTCTATAGATGTAAGAGTTATTATTTTGCTTGGGTTGCAAATAGTATTCCTTTATTGCTTCAACTCTCAACACTTGTATAATTTTATAGGGATACAATTGATTCTTGATTGAATTTTCAGTTATTGTGCTAGATTGTTTTCAAATATATGCTTCAAGTTTTTATTTTTTTATTTTTACTCAAGCAGAATCTTGCAAGTGTAATCAATGCTTTTGTAGTTAATTTTGTTTGTATATCTTATAGAACTGAATTGGTTTTGCAAATATATTTATCTTTTATTTAAAAGTTATTATCAAATTTTTAATTTAAATAATGATTGTTGCATGTCTTTTTCATAGAAAATATTGCCTATTGACTAAGAAGTTTAAAAAAATTATTTGTCATTCAGAGGTTTAAAGCATTTTTCAAAATTGTTACTTACTTTTAAATGATATTGTATCAAAGTTGAATCCTCTGATATAATTGGTGATTATATTAGATAAAATAAAATGCAGGGGTTTGTGGTAAAATAAATCTTAACAAATGCATTTATAAAGTTAATTATATGTAACTTTTATTCCATTTTAAGTTATAATTAATAAAATATTGAATTATTAAAACTAATATTTGTTTAATTTGTATTTATTAATAGTTTAAGTTTAAAGTGATCAGTAATTTATTAAACTGTCAACAGGAATAACTGAAGCCTTGTATGTCCTTGACAAACCCTTTCTATCAGTCATATCAATGGGATACTATGGAATATATCAGTTAGAATGTTTACTTAATTTGTTATCTGGAAATCACTGAATAGCCAATTATTATAACAAATGAATATTGCTAGACTTAGGTACTATGATTCATTTTATAATTCTGTTAGCATAATTTTATGCATATGCTGTCTTTTCTGAAAAAATGTTATTTACAGAATTACAACAAACTCTTCTGTCACTTGATTTAAAATACAAAAAATGGGTTTGTTTTATTTAATTCTATTAATAATTTTGCCATAAAAATTTAATTATGAATCATGTTAATAGCTAACTTAGCTGAATACTTCAGTTGTTAGCAGGAGTTGTCACCACTGTTACTGAAATGCATTTCTTCACACCATAATGCTTGTCACATAGGCCTAGAGAAATAGCAATAGAAGAATGAAGTTAATGATGTTTATAGTTCATTAGAAATGAAGATGATGATAACATGTGAACTATTGTTCCAATCTTTGTTGTTGTTATATCATTCTTTCAGCTGTTGTGCTCTTTGGCCTTAATCAGGTGCTTGTCGATCTGGGTAAGCTACAGGGAATTTCAAACTGAACCCTTTATTTAATCTTTTAGGTTAGGTTGTTCTCATTCTGCAGTAAAAAGTGAATCCTCAGTGAGTGGAGTAAGCATCATAAGTAGCAGCTGCAGCACTTATCAGCAAGTAGGTTGGGTTTAAGATTCCAAGTTATCCATACAGGATTGTCCCATGGGACAATAGCCTAGTAGATTAAAGCATTAGTTTGTGAATTTGGTGACATAGTAATTGCAAGTTCAATCCCTAGGTAGGGTGTATTTCTGGGACTTGGTGCAAACAAGGTGAACATAACTGAGCATTACCAAATAAAAACTAGACAGCAAAACAAGAATCTCTCCCTATAGAATAAAGAGTTCAGTTTGAAATTCCCTGAAGGTTGCCTGCATTGACAAATACCTGGTGATGGTCGGAGGTTACAGCGGCTGAAATCTTGAGATAATGATGGAGATAATAGTTTGCATGTAAATAAAGTTAATAATAAATGGAGATTTTGTTAAATTTTAGGATCCTTCATGAATACAAATGAAAGCATCAAATATTTGAAATGGTAAAAGAAAAATTAAAAATACTTCAAGTTAGTTACATTGGTAGTTGAAAGTGGCTTTCAGAAAGGAAACTTTTTCCTCTTTTTATGGACATTTTGAGAAATCAAAATTGTAACCTTATTTTTTATTGCATAAGATTCAATCAAGTATTACTTTTATATTTGGTGTTTTGAAATCTACCTCTTGTTTTTTAAATAACTTTTCACATTGTAGCTTCTTACAAATACATTTATAACTAAATAAGGGCCTCTTTTTTGCTTTTTTTTTTTCTCCATTCGATTGTTTTTGTTTTATGTTGAGAGTTGAATAGGGTCTTCTGTTCTGAAAGAAGCTGCAATTTCTTTTTGTCTAAAAGCTGCTTTCGATCCCTTCGCCATTAATTTTCTCAATGTGTAGGATCACAGCTGATGATAGAGGAAGTGCACTCAAGAGGCTGTAGTTACGACCAGAGTGATTTTGACAGCAGTCCATCATATTCCAGGAGGCCCGGTCGACTGCCAGGCCAACCGTTCCCTACCGGGCCCTCTTGGTGGATTGGATACCCCAGTAGGTGCACTGTTTCTAAATGGCATGATTCTTAATTCCAACCTATTACTACTATCACTTAGCATTACCATTTTACTACTAAATACCTATGCTATTTACTATCACTTCTTTTTTTGGATGAGATTAGTTCACTCTCCCTATTCCTGTCCTAGACTTTTGGCTGCTCTTTCTTGTTTGTCAAGCCTCAAACAATCACTTTACTGCCTTGATTTATTCAGATTTGCTCCCATTATTTTTTTTTCTCCCTTGCTACAGCTTACTGCCATGGTCTCTGTCAACTAACTGTGCTTTAAAACACAGCTCACAATCCTCCCTCCAATTTGTTCCATTTTGTTTGTTTACCTTTTTTCATTGTTATTTTTGATTTTGCTTTGTTTGTTTGTTTGTTTTTTTCTTTTTGTTTTCTTTTTAAAATTGCCTTTTTATTTTAATTAATTTCTTTTGTTTGGTTTATAAAAAAAATTTTTATTTTTTTAAATTTGTGTTTTTTTGCTTTATACGTTTTAAATTAACTTTAAGTTTCCAATGTAGGTCTCTATCATAAATTTCATTTGATCATCACTTGGACTATTTGCTTAAGACAAAAGCATTGCTAAAATTTTATCACATGTAGTGATTATATAATAAGTATTCTTTTACATTCCTTCAAATAATTATGTATAATTTAAATTTCTAAATTCAAATTTAAACTATTTCAACATAAATCTTTTTGTTTGAATTAGCAAGGAAAAAGAATCATAAATTCTCAACAAATGAGATATCTCAGATTTTTTTTTATAAAACTTTCTGAATGTTTCACTAGGATTCTATCTACACACATCTTTATAAATAGACTACATTTAATTATTATAGAATGATTTTTCTATTTTTTTTGTAGCATAATATGCTTAGAAGTTTTTTGAAATTTATCCACTGAATCATGAAAATGTATGTCTGTTGTAAAAGGTCCTCCCTACATAATAACTGTTTCATGTATAAAGTAATTTATCTTGACAACACTTTTTAAAAAAAAGAAAAAATAATAGTGCTGTTGAGATCTCTTAAATATCAACAAATTGCTCTTGGTAAATCAAAGATCCTTTACTTTTCTTGTAAATGTCAAAAATATGACTGAAAATTTGAGATCAATATGGCCTTTCCTAAAATATCTGCTTATATAGTCTTGAGTTTTGGGCTTTGAATAAAAAATGCATAGTAGTTTGCTTATCGCAATAAAAAGGGGAAAATGGACTGAGTACAATGATAGCTGATATTCATTTCTCACCTTTATAACAAGTTTCATTATTTTTCCGATAATTCTGTCCGTTTCCTTGGCTTTCAGGAAACTATTTTCTGTCATTGCAATTATTATACGAAAAAAATGTCAGTCTTTCCTTTATTAATTCTGGACATACTCATATTTATTTGCAACTCAACGAAAGCAAAATTTGGAGATCACCAACCACTGATATATTTTGAAAAATTCTTCAAACTGCAGGCATGAGGACATACCTTGATCTTTCTCTTCAAGTACATTGGGATGATAGTTTTTTTTTTTTTTTGTTTTTTTTTTTAAGTTATTATTTTGCTTCTGCACAGCATATGATGTTGGTTGCTGGTAAGAAGTTTATTTTCAGATCACCATTCATGACTCAATAATAAAAAAAAAAAAATACACTAATTTGTTCTTTTCATTGACAGTCTCAGTATTTTTTGCAGTACCCTTGCTCTTCTAAAGCTTTGTGTAATGGTTGTTATTTTCAAGTCACATCCCAATATCTGCAGTTTTTTTTTTTTTTTTTTTCATGTTTTTGTACAACATCCCATCGTTACTACTGTCTGGAATTCCAATTTATTGACTATATACTGAAACATCCTTCTCCAACTGACCCCTTTTTTATTACCTGTTTCCTGGCTTGGTAGAATTGCATGTTGATGTTCAGCCAGAAGTGTCTTTGGCTAGTTCCTGGGATGTTTCCTCCTGAACTTTTTTGTGTCAGGGTCAAAACTGTCCTTCACAAGATAACCAGCTTCCTTTGTTAATTGGTAACTGAACTGTTTCAACTGTTGCTGGTCGAGCTGAGATGAAACAGAGATCTCTTTGCTTTGTTATGTTATTTCTCATAAACTGAATCCATTTGTCAAATGTGTCACATCCTCTGTTGTCTTGTTGCCATATTGACTGGGTCTCACTGCTATAATCTTTGGCCCAGGACATCTTAATACAAGTATGAAAACTTAGTATTTAGAGTGAGGCAAAGAACACTTAGAAGGGTTAAGTGTAATTAAGAATTATTTGAAGAATAATTCCTATAATCTGGGAAATGAAAGAAAAGGAACTTAAAAAAAAAAAAAAAAAAAAGAAATATTGGGTGAGATCTTTAAGTATCACCTATCAGAGTACTTACCCCTAAAAAACAAACAACAAACCCCACTCTCTTTAAAAGGGGTGTGAAGACTTTCAATCTTATATTAATTTATTAGTATTTTAAAAATTGAATTTTAATACATTTCTAGTTGTTAAAAAATGAATTGTCCAACTTAGATCATCCTGCTCCTGTAAACAATGTTTTGCTGTGTATGACATGTGCAGCCAATAATCCTTACTGGGCCAATGTTAGATTACCTTTTTTTTTTTTTTTTTTTTTTTTTTTTTACCTATAATTGTAATATACATTATTTGTCGGGGAATAGCACACAAATGACGCTTTCGGAGAACAAGATTCTGTGAATGAAAAAACAGAATCTTTTGGTGCCCAATTCGTCTTAGCAATCATTGAACAAAAATAAATTCATCAAATACATCATATAAAAAAAGTATTTTAATAATGAACTATCATTGGCAAAACATTTTTACTGAATAAGAACAAAATAATTTTGTTTTTTATTTGAGCAATAGAAAGAATAAATATTTTATGAGAAAACAAACTATTAGAGTGTGTGATAAATAAATTCTCATCTAAATTACACAAAAATGAAAATAACACTGACATCTCATTTTAACATATATTTACCAAAAGTAAATAAAAATATATTTAATTACAAAAGAGTAAATTTATTCAATAAAATTGCCATTAACTTCAACCACAGCTTCCAGACAACTTCAGAATCTACTGCAACTCTTCTAGATGATCTCTTTGTTTAAGTTGGTGAATGCTGCCATAATCCTTGCCTTCAGTTCAGAGTTTTGTTGATCTCTTGCTTTATTGCATACACACAATAACCAAGGGGGTTGCAGTGTGGGGAGTTAGGTGGCCAGATGTAAAGAGTGATGAGTTTGCAGAAATTGTCCGAAAGCTATGACTGGGTTCTCCTGCTTGTATGACATGGTCCAGAGTCCTGTTGCTAGACAGAGTCCTCCAGCAGACCCCGTCTTGACTCAGGAAGCACTAACCCTGTATTGCATGTGAGGCCCTGTAGGAAGATCAATGGGCTATAACATTGCAATCACTAGAGATCACTCAAAACACCATGATGTTGACTGGATATATTGTCCAACTCTTTTTGAATCCTCTGCACTGTTCCAAGATTGACACCCAAACACTCTGAAATGTTTATAGTGGAACTTCTGGTGCAAATGCCAAGCAGTACAGCATAGTGTTTTCAAATTTCTACCAGAGTGAATTGTGTCATGGTGCTTTTTTTCTCACAGATGTTTCCCGACTGACCCTACTATGCTGTGCAGTTGGCAAAATCAAAAACAACGTGCATGCGTAAAATTAAAAATATAAAAGGGCAGCATTTTATCCATCGCACGCTGCATAAGAATGTGCCTCTTAGTCTTTATGATGTAACCTGGAGTTCAAATAGTACTAATTTATTTAAGTTTCAAATTTATATATCTAGCAAGACTAGGATGGTGTCTCAAGCCTTGAATGGCAACATTTCTAGAGGTGGTGTCTCAATAAAAAAATCACTGTGTACTTGGACAACCGTGAGTGTCTGGGTTGGGCATCAGGAAGAGCATCTGGCCTTGCCTCAAATCATTATGACAAGAGATTCTTTGTCAGGCAGGACCCACCTTGCTTTGTGTGAGATTCAACCTAGTCATGCCTCAACATGGCTATGATGATGAGCAAAGTATAGAACATTTTTAAAGACATTTTACTAGACTTGTCTTATGAAAGTATAAGATTAAAAGTATTTAAAATTATTGTTGGTTTTCTTTTAATGTTTATACTTTTCTGATGTGAGACAAAATGATATTAAAAAATTATTTTTCTTCTACCAAAATAATATTGATAAAATAGTTTTGTATCATTGAGCATAATCTTTACTCTCAAGAAGAAACTTAATATTCACCTTTCTAAAATACCTGTTTATTAATTTCATGTCAAGAGAAACTAAAGAAAAAAAGTATTAAAAAGTATTGTTTGATCGATGTGAATGATTCTTGTTTGAAAATTGTAGTAATTATTTTAAAACATTTTCCTATCTTGTATTAGAGATATAAAATCCTGTTTTGCGAAACAAGATAAAGATATTTATAAAATTTTTGGAAAAAAAAATGTTCATTTGGTTAATTTTAATGCTTTAATGTTTAATATTTAATCATGAAATTTTTCACATTAAATTTTTAAAAAATGACATTTTTCTGAAAGTTGTTTACATTTTGTATAATTAATTTATTAGTGATAATTAATTTTTAAATAAAAAGTTCTTTTTTGTTTGTTTAATGGTTTATTAATGAAAAAGGTTTATTCAGTTACAATGTGTGTAAGAATGAATTAGTAATTTAGTAATGAATTAGGAGTTTTCTCTATAGTGATGAGATTTACAATTTTAATTTAATATATCTGTTTATTAATTCTGTTTTCTCAGTATTTTTTTTTGTGTGTATATTTGAGATTTTATATATATATATATATATATATATATATACATATATATAATCTTTGCAACGTGTAATTTTGTTTTTTAAACTCTTACTGCTTGCTAAATGACTTATCAAAAATGTAAAAAAAAAAATTTAAAAAAAATGCTTTGTCTTGAAAATGGTTTTGGCAGATTTGTCTACTTAA